AGAACCCCCCGCCAAAAACCAATGTGCAAGTGTTTAAAACATACTTAAAAATGGTAGGATGATGGGTTTTATATGATGCATATTTTTCCATTACTTAAAAAACTGAATTGCGCCTACATTGCACACAGTTCTGGGGTTCTCCTAACCCTTCAAAGAGTGTTCATTTATGCATCTACTGCTTCATTCGTTTGGCCTTGATTACTGCATTCTTCACTTTCTAATACCTTTGGTGAACGCTGCTGAGTACCTATAGGTGTGGGTGCTGTGTAGGTTCTGGACACAGCCCTGAGAAGGACAGGCAAGACCTCTACCCTTGAGAGCCAAGCCCAGGATCCACTGTGAGCTTCCGGGGAGACAGTGAGCAAGATAAATAAGTAAAGCATGTAATTTGTTGGCTGGGTGTGGTGGCACTCACCTGTAATCTCAGCAGCTCAAGCCTGAGGCAGGAGGATCACGAGTTCAAAGCCAGCCTCAGCAAAAGCAAGGTGCTAAGCAACTCAGTGAGACCCTGTCTCTAAGTAAAATACAAAATAGGGCTGGGGATGTGGCTCAGTCGTTGAGAGACCCTGAGTTCAATCCCTGGTACCTCAAAAAAAAAGTATGTAATCTGTCACAAAATGTAAAGGGATTTAGCAAAAGTAAAATAAGGAAGGAGGATGGGGTATAAAATTACACATGCACCACTAAGGTGACACTGTACAAAGAAAGAGGGGAGAGGGAAGGGACGGGAGGGTTGAGTGGCAAGAGGCCACAAGGCACTGTCAGACCCCTGCTTCCCTTTGTGAGAGGGTCTGATGGAGGTCTGAGGGGTCCCTTTTGCTTGGTCTGGGGGGGTGGGTTGAGGGCCACACAGCAGGCTGCGGGGGAGGACAGCCACAGTACAGGAGGGACGTGGTGGGGTTGGGACCTGGGTGTGCAGAGGTGGGTAGAGCACCAGATTCAGTGTGCATCATGGAGAGAGAGCTGAGGCTTGCTGGTCCCGTGAGGAAGAGGTGTGTCATCGTGGGCCTGGGCTGTGGGTAGGCAGGCAGGGCCACAGGGAGCAGAAGGCCCACAGTGTACCTGGCACATCAGAGCAAGAGGGTGCTTGGAGGCTGCTGTTCCTCAGCAAGCAGTGCTCCAAGCAGCCAGGACTTGGTGTCTGTGATAAGGAATGGGAACAGGGTTGGGGACTCACAGAGGAGAGGAGCAGATCATTCAACCCCGGAGAAAGGAGAGCATCCAGGCAGGGAGGGCTGTGGGGGCTGCACACGAGGGCATCCTGGGTCAGGAGAGGAGCTGGGATAGGCCAGGGGCTTTGTTTGCAGGGGGCTCTGGGAAACAGCCCGTGGGCTGCTCCTTTGGGCAGCTGGTGCAGGTACAGCCTGCCAGGGTCGCCCGTCAGGTGACCTGCCCCTCACAGGTGGCATGCATTTCCTAGGCGCCTCCAGGGGGTAGAGTCATTTTGTAAATGAAGAGACTGAAGACCAGGATGAGCAGGTGAGGTCTGAAGTGTCCTTGCTGCCTGTCCCGCTGCACAGGGTCCCCACCTCCTCCTGGGGTGCCGTGCTGGTGGGCAGGGTGGAGAGCACCCTGGTGCTGGTACCTGCTCTGCCACCTTCTCCCTGGGTGGAAATCGGACACAGTGTCCCCCTTCCAGAAAGGCGGGTCTGCAGGGGTGCACATAGATGTCCCACACATGGTCGAGTCCAGCTCTGCCAGGGTCCCCGGCAGGACAAGTTCATGGCTGTCTACACCACAAAGTGCTATTTGTGATTTTTTTTTCCCTAAACACAGTCCCTGTGAGTGACTCATGCATTTAATATTATTTTAATCTATTTTACACTCTGTGTAAATGGGGCCGTGTGTTTCTTTTTACTAAAGGTGTTTTGTTTAGGCTGCTCATAATATGACCAGGAAGGTCTCCAAGGCCAGAGGACTTACGGGGTTACAGAGTGGTTGGCAGCGTGGAGGGCAGCTCAGGCCACGGGCTCCTGCCAGGGGACCCAGCATAACTCCCTTCTCGGGCACAGCAGACCCCAGGACCTGGGCTCCCCGCACACAGGAGCATGATATGCCAGCTGGGGGGACTTGGGGACTCGTGCAGGTGACAGTCATTTCCAAGGACCCAGAGAAGGAAGTAGTCAGAAGGAAATACTACTGCGTCCAAGTCTAGACATGGGTAGACGCAGTGGGACCCCGGGCAGCCCAGGTCCTGTCCTGGTGGGGTTGATTTGGTGTACTTTTTTGAAAATCTGCAGCATCAGGTGTGTGTAGGGGGAACCCACAGGAGGGTGGGAGCTAACCCTGCTTCCATCAGTTTTTGTCTGCAAGGAGGTGGACATACCAGTGGACCCTGACTTTCCCCTACATTCCGTGAGACCCCTGTCTTCTCTCTAGCTGTGTCACCTCCCTTTCTGATGCAGTCCCTGAGCCAGGCTGGCCTTCTGGCTGAACCTTCAGCACCTGCCCCAGGGCCTTTGCAGATGCGATTCCCTCTGCCTGGACTTTCCTCCTACAGACCTGTGACAACCAGCTCCCTCCAGTTTCTCACAGCCACTCAGACAGGATCTTTTTAGATGCTCATGCTGCAGCCTCCAACCCAGGTCCTTCCCCTCTCCCTGCCCAGTGTGCTGCTTAGCTTTCATCTCCATGGAACACGCTACACAGTGTTCCTATTTTATCTTGCCTATGTCTCTCTTCTTCCACAATGAAATTTCCAAGCACCTTTGCCTGTTTCATGCCTCTTGTGTCCTCAGTTCCCAGGACAGTGCCTGGCACACAGAGAGCGTACCATGAAGACCATGAGTGGCTGGTATGTTGGTTTGCTGTTGCATCTCTTGGTGGATCTCTTGGACACATTTCAGCAGGTACCCTGGAGTGGAATTGCTAGGTGACAGAATGAAGACACATAGGTTCAGCTTTTCTGGAAACTTCCAAACAGTTCTCCAAAGCCGCCACACTGATTAAAACTCCTTCCATGAAAATTCTAGTCGTTTCACATCCTCCTCGACACTACGTGGTCCATCCTTCTAACATTACCTATTCTGTAGGTCATGCTAGCTGGCTGAGATGTTAATTTGCATTAGCACCTTTTCATGAGTTTATTGCCATGTGGATATTCCCTTTTGTGAAATGAACATTCAAGACTTTTGCTTATTTTCCTATTGGGCTCCCTGTTATTTTTTTTTTTTCCTGCCTAAATCTATGTCACTGCAAGCATCACCATTGTGACCCCACCCTCTCTCCCTGCACATCAGTCTGGAGCTGAAGGTGAACATGCAATCCTGTTTTTTGCAATTCTGTTCTCATCCTGAGAAACACTCACCTGGGGCTCATTCAGCTGGTGCTCAACTGAAGAGTCTGTTTCCAAACTGGAATCAAAGCAGACCGAGCGGGACTGGCAGTATGAGGCTTTGGCTCCAGGTGTCTGTCTTAGAAGCAGACCCTGTGTGGGATGTGGTTATGCCCCGGGCCTTCCCACCCCACCTGGCCAGCCACATCCTTGCTGGAATACCCGCCTGCCCCCTGCTCTGTGAACTCCTGCTTCCATTCCAAGATCTGGTTTAGAAGCTGCCTCTTGCCCTCCTCCCTGCTCTTCCGAGTCCTCCTCTGTGTTTGAGTCACTGATGGGTGAGTATCTGTTTCCCCAGCCACCTGGGAGACCTGGGAGGTTGAGTCTGGGTACTGAGGACTGACCGCTGTAGGCCCAGCATGCAGTAGGTGCTGAATGTATGCTCTCAACGTTCTGGAAGAAGCTGACTACTGTGTCTTGGAACTGTGTTCTCCCATTGGGAAGGGATGCAGGGTGAGGACTTTCACACTAGGGCTTTCCGGTCCCCACGTCCCATGCTCCCTCCCACACTGGTCAGCCAGTCCTGCCTCGTGCCTTCCCTGTCTGTAGGTACCACATGTTTCTCTTTAAACCCCTTCACCTTAAAAAAATTGTTGAAGGATCTTCTAATTTATTAAAAAATATTCGTAATGTTTTAATTTTCCAACATCTTTCAAAAAATACTTTATTTGGGGGCTGGGCTGTGGCTCAGTAGTAGAGTGCTTGCTTAGCATGCATGAGACACTAGGTTCGAGCCTCAGCACCACATAAAAATAAAAATTAAAGTTATTGTGTCCACCTAAAACTAAAAAATAAATATTAAAAATACTTTATTTTTATATCAGTTTTAGGTTCATAGCAAAATTGAGCCAGAAAGTAGAGAGTCTCCAGTTGGCCCCCCTACCCTCTGACATGCCCAGCCTCCCCCATGACCAACACCCGTCCCAGAGCAGGACATTTGTTACAATCGGAGAACCTCCATGGGCACATCAGTACCACTCAGGGTCCAGAAGGGACATTAGGGTTCACCCTGGGGGGTTGGACCCTCTGCAGGCATGGACAGGTGTGTGACACATCTCCACTGCTGGGGTGTCACAGAGAAGAGCATCGCTGCCCTAAACGCCCGTGCTCCCCTGATTCACTCCCCTTCCTCCACCTCCAGGCGACCGACCACTCTTCTTCCCACCGTCTCACCCTCTCCTTTTCTGGAACATCATATAGTTGGAATCAGACAGCACTGCACCTTTTCAGTCTGGCCTTTTTCACTTACCAACATCCAAAAGCCATTTCGTGTCTCCTCATGGCTTCGTAGCTCATTCCTTTTCCACTTCTGAATGCTGTGTGGCCGGGATGTGCCACATTTTATTCACCCTTCACCTGCTGACACGCATCTTGATTGCCTCCAATTCCAAATCTTGGCAATCATCAATAAAGCTGCTACAAACATCCCTGTGTAGGTTGATTCATTTATTTTTGGTACTGGGGGATTGAATTCAGGGGCACTTGGCTATTGAGCCACATCCCCAGCCCTGTTCTGTATTTTATTTAGAGATTTATTGGGTGGGGTGGGCACATTGCTTTTCCCACTCTGCACTGTGGTGTGCCCACTGTGGTTGCTGGGAACCATCCAGCCATTGCCGACCATGGTCTCCCAGGATGTGCCGACCATGGTCTCCCAGTGGTGACAGCACAATGGTCCTTAACCCCTCAACACAAGCAGGCTGCTCTTGGGCGGGAAGAGGGGGCTTTGGCAGGTGGATTCAGGTGAGCACTGTGGCTGTGGGCTGATGGGACACAGACCTACAGTTCCTTTGGTCATCCTCTCAGCCAACCTTCTCTGGCTTGGGCAGGGCCAGCCATGCTGGGTGACCCCTTGCTGCCAAATCTGCAGGAAATACCACCGGGCAGGGGGCTGGGAGCTGGCTTCCCAGGAGCCTGATGTTCAGGGGAGCTGCTTCCTATGAGGACTTGGCAGAGGTGCAGGCCTGGGCAGACACATTCCGAACCTTTCCTGGAGGTGCCTGTGTCCACTCAGGCCTGCTTCAGAAGCTCCCTCTGGAGCCAGAATGAGGCTGGAGGGGCAATCAGGGGTGTGGGCACATTTGAGATCCTGAGGCCCTGCTCCTGGAGCCAGACACAGTGGTAAAGTAGAGGGTGTTAGAAGGACCTTCCCCTGGTGGCCTTTGCTGCCAGGTCTCCGGGTCCTGGTTCTGTCCTCTCCCCCACTCCCTCCTTCCTCTTTCTCTCTCGTCTTCTCACTCATACTCTCTGTCCCTGCACCTGGGGTCCAGACAAGGACCGCAGGTAGCTCCCCTGGAATGCAGGGCCAGGTTTGCTCTGAGTCTGAGCGCCTTCTTGATGCTGCTTGGGGACACCAGGTCCCCCTGACCTGAGAGATGCTGAGGAAAGACCTTTACTGCTCAGTTGGTGAGTTCATGTGGGGCTGAGTCCAACCGCAGAGCAAGGCCCCGATCTCCCATTCGGACTGAGCATAGAGACGGGCTCCCGTGGCTGATCCTGGCTGATCAGTTCTGGCTTCTGCCTCCACCAAGCCAGAAGTCAGGCAGGACCCCAGTGCTCAGCTGGTCCTGGGCTGCATTTTACAACTGGGAACTGGACACCCAGGTTGGGGAAGGGACAACCAGGGGGCAGATGAGCACCCGATCCTTGGTCCCCTGCACCAACCTATCCTCATAGTCTCTGAAGGGAAAGCAGAACGAGACATGGGTAAGAGAGAAATGAAAGATGGAGAGCAGGCAGAGATATTTATCAGAACTGACAAATAAAGGTCATCTCTCTATAGCGGAGAGAGGGGCAAATCGGGCTTGGGTTCCAGGATTTTTATGGGGCAGGTTTAGGAATCAGAGCTGGGCAGGTCCTAATGCAGGTGGTTAGGGGTTGGGTTGGTATGAGGGAGTGCTGAGCCTTTCTCAGAAATGCTCTTGGGCGGGAAAGTGAAACTTCTTCCTTAAAATGACAGTTGTTCCTTAAGATGTCCATTCAGATGCTCAGCAAGGACCTTATAGTTTTAAAAAACTTTCTGTTCTGGGGAGAATGTGAGTGTCTGTGATCTTTTCCTTTTAACCCAGCAGACGTTGCTATTGTCAGACCATAGAACAGAGTCTCGTTAAGGACTGAGTTGTGTGTCTCACAACCCCGAATTCCTAATTCAGAGTCCCAATCCCAGAACCTCAGAATGTGACCTTATTTGGAGACACTGTCTTTCGGAAATCCTCAAAGTAAAATGAGTCCATATGGATGGGCCCTAATCCTACATGACTGGAGTCCTTATAAAAAGAAGAGTTACGGACACAGGCAGAGAAGGACAACCCTGTGCAGACACAGGAAGAAGATGGTCAGCCACAAGCCAAGCAGAGAGGCCTCAGGGGAGACCAACCCTGTGAATATCCTGATCTTGATCCCTCCAGAGATGTGAGGGATAAATAAATGTTAGAGCTGACCAGCCTGTGACTCTTCCTTATGGTGGCCAAGCTGACTGATTCAGTCTCCCAGGTGATTTTTTTTTTTCTGTTTATACAGTATCAAGTGCTGCAGTCTGGCTGGGCACAAATCACGAGCCACTCAAGAGGAACAAACTTTATTTCTGAACTCCACCGGCACACTCCACACACACTCCCCAGGAACCACCAACCGGAAATCCCTCCTCCGGCACTTCCCCAACCAATGGGAACTCTCCGGGAATCCCCGGGAGAACTCCAAAGTAGCAGGCCAGGGTCTAATATACACAGCTTAACATAACCATTATCATCTCAATGGCTTGCTGGCGTCACCTCTCAACCACTCATTCTGGCAAAAATGCCATGCGTCATTCGTCATTCCGGCTCTCTGAGCAATCAAGCAAGGTTAAGAACCTTTAAAATTCTCTCAGTGCTTTTGGAAACAAACAAAAATAAACCTGGAGCCTGAGGGCCAATGGCACATGGGTTAATTCAGTAGCAGACACACCCTGTGCCTCCCGCACCTGGCATAGGGGTCACAGAATTCTCAAGATTTGATTTGGCCTTGGGGTGCTCCTGTTGAAGGGCAAAAACAATTCCCTGTCCATTGCAAATTTATTAATACCAGCTTCTGTGGAGGGCATCACCAGCGTAGAGGTGAACATGAACTTGGAGAGTGCGGGGAGCTAGGATACCTGTTCATTCATTCATTCATTCATTCATTCGACAAACATAGGCCTCTTGACGAACCAAGAAACACAAGAGGGTGTGGTGTAACTGGTCAGATTCTTCTCTCCACCAGTCCCTCCCACGACAACAGTGGCAAGCGCCACCACACACCAGGGACCACTCTGGTGCTTTCAATGCCAGCAACTGAAAGGGCAGTTCAGAGCCCTGCTATTTTGCACTGATCTTTGGTACCGACTGGTTTGGACTTCAAGTTGCCCAGAGCGTTTTGTGTTATCCGACCACATACCCACGGAACGGAGCGTGAAGGTTGTAACAGGGCTTCACTCGAGGCTTCGACTCTATCCCTTGTGACTTCATTGAAACTTACACATTCTTTTCTTTTTCCCAACCTTCTTCTCCCGGACCTTCCCCTCCTTGATCTTCTTTCCCCTGATCTTCTCCTTCTTTATCTCTCCTGTCTAATCTCATTTTCTCTGAATCACCTCTTAAGAGACCCCGCTGTTCCTGCCCATGGGCAGAATCACACTGTCTTCGGGACAGAAGTCCCCTGTGTTTCTCAAAGCAATAAACCTTCCCAGCTTTTGGCAACAGGGTGAGAATTCCAAGAGGGGGGAATGGATGACCTTTATAAGGTCAGAGGAGGCCACCAAACTGGTTTCCCACAAACTTCAAGAACAATGGCATTTGCAGTGTTCTCTGGATTCAAGAACCAGGAAACGTCTTTCTTTTCTCCATTTCACAGAGGTGGGGAAGGAGAATAACGGGCCAGGCAGTATGCGGGTGGTGAAACGGGGGCTCACAGCAGGCTAGGGTCTCCTGTGGCATTTCTGCCTGTGTGCCCTTGTCCCAAACAGAGGACAAGTCAGCAATAGACAGACCAGGGCCTCCTGCACCCACCAGACTCCAAGCTGACTCAAAGACACAAGTGTCCAGGCTGAATCCAGGATACACAGAGGGTTTCCCGCCTCAGCTGAGGGGTGGACACTGTATGGAAATTCTTCTGGGGGGCCTGGCCAGTCCTTTTTCCTCTTCTCTTCCGTGGTGATATCAAGCATTCAGGCTTCATCATCTGTGACAGACCTGCTGTGAAAATATTCCCACTTCGCACCCCTCTCTGAATCCCTGTTTGACTCAGCCGGGAAGGGTGCTGGAACTAAAGTCATGCTAGTTCTGAACTCAGAGTCGAGTCCTGGCCATCTGATTCTTCCACCTCTGCCTCTGAGGACAGGCCTGGTCTAGTGTCCTGGAGGCCGAGAGGCTGGGTGGAACAGAGGCAGGCAGGACCCGTCAGTGTCACCCGCCACCCACAGGAACGGGCCTGCTCATCCACAGACTTCCAGGTGGGGGGAAAGGGTGGTGGATTTAAGCTGCTGAGTTTGTGGTTGGCTTCTTACACACAACAGCTATGACACACCACCATTCAGGGGCCCATCCCACCCTTCCCTCCGCTGTCTGGGGGAAAACCCTGGCTTTCTACTTCAGTTGGGACCTCAAGCTTATCATCCGCCTCTGTGCCTGCAAAGGGAACCCGTCTTGCTTCTGCCTAGGGAGAGAAATGTCACCTCTTCCTTCCTGGAGACATGTCTACCTTGAGCTCTGGGCCTCATCTTGCTCTGTAGCTTCCAGGAGCTTCTGGAGCAGAGCCCCGTAGACGAGTGGCCTGACCTACAGAGGCTCATTGTTTCAGAACTCTGGAGGCCAGAGGTCAGACGAAGGTGTGCACAGGGCTGGTTTCTTTTGAGGCTCTGAAGGAGACTCTGTCCCCTCCTCTACCCCAGCTTCAGGGGGTTTGCTGGCAAGCTTTGGTGTTCCTGGGCTTGTGGAAGCCTCGCCTTCTCTTTGCCTTCATCTTGCATTTATTGATTCATCACTTGATTGATTGATTGATTGATTTTGTGTTGGTGGGGACGGAACCCAGGGCCTCACACATGCGAGGTGAGCACTTGACCACTGAGCTCCACCCCTGGTCCTCTGTCTGCCTCTTCATATGGGACTCTGAAATGCGCATCTCCCTGTCCACATTTCCCCTTTCCATAAGGACATCAGGCATATCAGATGAGGGCCCAGCAAGGCGTCACCTGAACCAATTACATGTGCCACAACCTTGTTTCCAAATAAGGGCACCTTCTGAGGTACTGGGGGTTAGGACTTCAACATGTGATCGCAGGGAGCACTCAGCCTGTCACACCTACTGTTGGGGAGCAGTGAAGCACAGTGGTTAGGGACGAGGACTCTGAGGTTAGGCAAAACAGGAGACTTCTTGGTCCAGAACACTGAGCTTAATTTATGAAATGGGCATTCAAAGCTCTTCGAAGGGTGCTTGGCATGTAGTAAGTACTCAATAAAGCTCTCTGTGTTTTAAACATCACTGTTTCCACTACCTTCAGACTCTTCCCTCTCTACTGACCCTGCTCAGCTAGTCATTACCATCTGTAAAGCACTCCCGGCCTCTACCTTGAGCCCCTCCCACACCTGCCCCGTCTTGACTCTCCAGCATTCTGACCTTGGTGGTCCCCAGTGAGCCTCCTACAGGGACGCTGGGCTTGGCCATGGGAAATTGGCAAGCATGACACAAGCTGAGGCTTCGTAGGAACTTGCCCCCTAGGCGAGCTGGGTCTTGACACCCAACTGCCATGTGGCAGCCCAGGCAGCCTGTGGAAAGGACAGGCCAGGGAGCTTTAGCTATTGGCTCCGACTAACTGCCAGCCTCGTGCACGGGGCCTGTTGGTCCTGCTCGCCACCCAGGAGGCCAGCCACACCTCAGATCTGAGGTACTTAAGCTGCCAAGTCTTGGCATGATTGGTTTCCCGGCCACAGGTAGGAGCCGCACACCCCAGCCCTCCTGGTTCTGCTTCTGCTCCTGCCGGAACCATTCCTGGACCCCTCCTGCTGTGGCTGCTTCTCAAAGCCTGGGATGGGGTCCTCTCACCTTCACGTGCCTCTGTTTTTCTCCCTGTAAGAGGAAGCCAGTAAGACAATTTCCCAGGGTCATTACCAGGAGTAACTCAGTGTGAGCACCCGATCCCTCCCCTAGATGAACCGCAGTTGCCTCCTCCTGAAACAGGACCTGCCCCACGACCTCCGCTTGCTCAGCGCCCTGACCTCTGTTTCCTGACCATTTACTCCAAGGCTCCCTGGCTCTGCCTTGAGCCCCTGCTCCTCCTACTGCAAATTGCCCTTTGCTGCTACTCCCAGCATGGACTCCCGGCCCCGGCGGGCCCCTGATTTCCGACCCTGAGACACAGCTGCTTCCTGGATGCCCTGGGTGACCACCTCACACGCACTGTGTCTGGAGCTGGGCTTGCTGTCTCCTCTCGGGTCCTTCCTTTTGCTCCCTGATGCAGCAAAGGCACTGCTACCCCCAAGCCTCGCTGGATCGTGGCAGGTCGCCTCTGCCTTCACTCCCAGGAGTGAGTCTCCTCCCACGGCTCTGCTTTTCCCTCCCTATCCATTACCCCTGGTGGAATCTCCCTGGAGCACAGGTCTGATCTTGTTCTGTGACAGGGCTGAGACACCTTCTGAGGCCTCCTGGTATTTTAAGTCTCAATCACATTCTTCACAGTCTCTAGACTCTGCCCTCACCAGTTGTTTGAGCTCCAAATCTACATATTCTCCTACCCCAGGGCCTTTGCACAGGCCTCTCCTTCTGCCTGGAACGCCCTCCCCCTTCACCTGCTTAGTTAATTCCTTTTATCCTTCAAGCTCAACCTGAAGATCTTTCTCTCCAGAGCTTTTCCTGGGCCCAGGTCCTTCCAGCTGTTGTCATTCATGGACACGGCTCTCCCAGTCCATTTCCGGTGTACCACCTCCCCCTCCTTCATTGTCATGAACCCACTCCTTCACATAAGAAGTGGCAGCCATGTGAGCAGCCAGCCTTCTACCCTGTCTGTGGAAGTATCCTGAGCCTAGCACAGTGCCGGATGCACAGTAGGTGCTCAGGAAAGCCCTGTGGGAGGCTGTTGAAGGAATGAAGGAAGGATGGGGACTGAGCAGGACCAGGAAGGTGGGAGAGGATCCTTCGGTGCCAGGGTGGGGAGAAGGGTGGGTGATGGCGTGGGGTCTGTGCACGTGCATGCAGGGGAGGGACCTCTCCCGGTTGCTTTCTTTTGGGTCTCACCCTCCTGCTTCCTGTCCCTTGAACCCTGCTTCACTCTTGCCAACCTTCCAGAACCTTCCGATTCCGTAGGAGACCCAGAGCTTTCTCCTGCGGACTCGAGGCATCTCAACCCTTCCCCCCAGCCCGGTCGTCAATGGCTTTGGTAATTGTTCTCACAACCGTGTCGGGATCGAACAAACAGATGTTTATAGTTAA